ATCGCCGACAAGCGCAACCAACGCCAACGCCGCCGACCACGTACACCGCCCCATCGGCGCCATTCGCATTCCAGGCCTCCTCCACCCCTTCATTCCTGTTCGGCCCGCCCGCTCCGGTCACTTCTGCCTTCGCACCATCGCCCGCCTCGTTCTCCTTCGGATCCGCTCCGGCCAATGCCGCGCCCGCCGACACCCTCCCGCCGGCGACTGCCGCGACGGCCAGCGGCGACAAGGCCTTGGACTGGAATGCTAGATTTGCGGCGTTCCTGGACCACTTTGAGAGGGAGATGGAGCAGGTGGGTGACGACAGCCTCTCCAAGGAGGTTGAAGTGCTCACCACGCTCGCCAGCAAGGCCAGCGAACTCCGACCTTCGCACGGCTCTGCGGGCGACATGTCGGTTCAGCTTGCGCTGTGGCAACATGAGGTACCTGACTGCCGCCATCTGACCAACTCTCACACCGCCCGTTCGCGTTCAATTCATCAGCTGACGAGCGTCATACATTGCTTCTTCCTCCTCTCAGCTGGACTTAGCCGCGATGGCACCGCTACCCGACGACGATGAAGACTTCTGACCCGTCACACTGTTTGTATCTCGGACATAAAATGGGAGAGTGAGCATTGTGCCACCACGGACCAGAGCTTCTTGTGTCTCGAACGGTCGCCGGCTGCTCGGGTGACTACCCGGTAGCGCTGTTCTTTTCTCCGCGCCACTGCCGTGTGGTTGGGTTGGCTGCCAAGGAGACCGCCGTCGGTGTTTGTCAAGGCCGCAATTTGCGTTGGCGGGCGCTGAACAAAACCACGAGGTGCCTGTTGTTGGGTTCAAACCCAGAGTAAAGAGAAGAGCCTTGGCGCGGCCCAACCACCCGGACACCAGACTACTAACCACATCCACACAAGGTACTGCCTCTTCATCATCTTCGTCATCTTCGTTTTTGCGAACCAAAAGAACGAAGGCAGAAGCCCGAACCTTGGAGGTTTAGAAGATGAATCAGGGGCTTGAGTGAGTGCTGTGGCCTTTGCAGCATCTTACGTATTGGGTGGCGCGTGCAGATGAGCGGAGCCGACGAAAGCGAGGAAGTTGATCGCCATGTGCTGAAGAGATACGAAGTTGGCCAGAAGCTCGGCAAGGGAGTACGTGCCTCTATATTCTTCTATCTTCTTTATGCGCGATTTGACGAGCATGGACGAGTAGTCGCAAATCACCTCAACGCATGCTGCAAGGGCTTCTTTGGATGGCCGTTGCCTGGTGATTTTTTTGATTAATTGATCTTCTTGTTCTGCCTCTTGCTACTCGCAGGCCTATGGCATCGTATGGAAGTCAGTGGACAAGAAGACGAAGGAAACCGTGGCTCTGAAGAAGATCTTCGACGCCTTCCAGAATGACACCGACGCCCAGCGCACCTTCAGAGAAATCATGTTCCTCCAGGTGCGCGATCAACACCAACCTCAATGCACCCCCCCCCTCTGAATCGCCGTAATTGCTCAAAATCTTAAACGCGCCTTTGAAACAGGAGCTGGAGCACGAGAACATCATCGGCTTGCAGAACGTCATGAAGGCCGAAAACGACAAGGACATCTACCTCGTCTTCGAATATATGGGTATACGCTCCTTCTCCACCCGTCCCCCGCCACTGTTGCGTAACAGTGTTGCTGATGTGTTACCCTCTTCTTCTTTTTTCTTTGTTGTCTGAAAATTGTGTAGAGACGGACCTGCACGCCGTCATCCGAGCCAACATCCTGGAGGACATCCACAAGCAGTACATCATCTACCAGCTGCTCAAGTCGCTCAAGTACATGCACTCCGCCAATGGTACGGTGTCCCTTCTCTTCCCACGCCGTGAACCGGTTGATCGTATCACGCTCGCACCCACATGACAAAGCGCTCATCATCAACACAGTGCTGCACAGGGACCTGAAGCCCTCCAACATTCTGCTGAACAGCGACTGCCTGGTCAAGGTGGCCGACTTCGGTCTGGCCCGGTCCATCAAGGCGCTCGAGGAGAACAAGGAGGAGAACCAGGTGCTGACGGACTACGTGGCCACGCGCTGGTACAGAGCGCCCGAGATCCTGCTCGGCTCGACCAAGTACACCAAGGGCGTCGACATGTGGAGCGTGGGCTGCATCATGGGCGAGCTGCTCCTGGGCAAGCCCCTCTTCCCCGGCAACTCCACCATGAACCAGCTCGACAGGGTGATCGAGGTGACCGGCCGCCCCTCGACCGAGGACATCGAGGGAGTGCAGTCGCCCTTCGCCCTCACCATCCTCGAGTCCCTGCCGCCCTCCACCCCGCGTTCGCTCTCGGAGATCTTCCCCAAGGCCACCGAGGAGGCGAGGGACCTGCTGCGGAAGCTCCTCATGTTCAATCCCGAGAAGCGCATCACCGCCGATGTACGTGTCGACTCCAATCGCACTTCCGCCCTCTTCATGTGGGGCCCATACTGACCGGTGGTGTTGCGCTCCGGCCTACAGGATGCCCTCAAGCACCCCTGGCTGTCGCAGTTCCACAACGAGGCCGAAGAAGCCGTCCACACGGGCAACATCGGTACGTCACCGCACTTGCACTTTCGTTCTCTAAGCGCTGTGCTCACTGCGCGTCGCACGTCGCTCTGTACAGAATTGATCATCGATGACAACAAGAAGTTCCCCATTGCCGAGTACAGGAGCACGCTCTACAACGACATCAAGAAGAAGAGGAAGGAGAGGAGGCGAAGGGCCAAGCTTCTCAAGAAGGAGAAAACCGATCAAGCCAAGGTGGTCAAGTCGGAAGATAAGAAGGAGAAGCGAGGCAGCAAGATCCTCAAGAAGAGCGAGGAGAAGAAGGAGAAGAGGAGCAGCAAGATCTTGGGCAAGCGGGAGGGCAGCAAGAGGGAGAGCCGAAAGGACAAGAGCGCCTGAGGCCTTCTCCACCACGCACCAAGGCCCCTCAGCCCTGAAGTGAACTCGTCCCTTTGCCAGCACCTTTGTTGTGTAGAATAAAATGTAGCCACAAATCGTTCGTACTTACTGCTGCGTCGCCTGTTCCAACAAGGCATGCTCAGTGATCCAGAATACTGCGGTGATGGTGTGATCTCAAGCAACCAGTCCCCTGTGGTGTAGTTGGCTAGCATTTCCGCCTGTCACGCGGACGACCCGGGTTCAAATCCCGGCGGGGGAGATCTTCCTTTTTTGGGGGAGATCATTCTCATTTGGTTGCCCTCGCCTCCTCTTCATTTTTTTTCCAAGGCGCTGAAGATAGCTACAGGCAATGTTTCACCCCTCCGCTTTAACTATCAATTGTATTGGTATGTGAGCAAAACGAATTTCTTGGCATAGCTCCTTTTTGCTTGCGCAAGCACTCGTGCTACAAGTTGCGGAGGGTGCGCCATCCCATTTGTGGGAGCTCAAGGGTCAAGTGTAGGGGGTGTAGCTCAGATGGTAGAGCGCTCGCTTAGCATGCGAGAGGTAAAGGGATCGATACCCTTCTCCTCCAATTCTTTTTGGCCAACACAAAATGTTGTCAGGTATCCAGGGGAACCTTACCCAGACAGAATAATGATCATGAATGAGAAATCCTTTGCCTGTTTTCCTGTTTGTCTGGATGGATCATGAAGACAAAAAAGATGCTTGGGGGATCAAATAACCAGCTGGTGAATCCTGTAGATGATGTATTTTTGTTGTGTGGCCTTGCCCAGCCACCATCTCTTCATGCAATCATCACATAGACATAGTACCCAACTCCAACCACACCTGGAAATGCAATTTCTCTGTCTTCACCAACAAGGCCTTTATGAGTTATCCATTTTCCATCACCCTTCAGCAGGTATCTACTGCAACAAAAGGCTGTCCTTGGGATATCCTCCTATGGCTCCAATCACCTAGCTCATGCAGTACTCATTGTGTTGTGAGAAAGAGGACACTACCTGTGCCTTTAGGCCTGCGATTGCTGCAGTAAACGATTACACGGAATCCAATAGCAAGCTACGCCTTTAAAATTGGTCAGTGAAGCAAGGGCCGGTTAGCTTAGTTGGTAGAGCGTGGTGCTAATAACGCCAAGGTCGTGGGTTCGATCCCCACACTGGCCATATCTTTTGGCAGCACTTCAACCGCAAGAAGACAGAGAGAGAGAGGTTGACAACGTGGTCAAGGTCGTGGGTTCGATCCCCATACTGGCCATTCGTTTTCCTCGTGGCACAGGTCTCCTTCAGCAGGTATTCTGTGTGTCCCAAATGTCCATTGTGTGGCAAGCCTGCCTCATGGTGTAGTTGGCATTTGGTTTCTGGTACCTGGGACCCAAGTTTAAATCTGGGTGTATCACATCTTGAATAAAATCTGCTTTTGATGGGAATGAGGTGGCCTGGGAGCTCACAGTAGGAATCCAGGACAGCTTTTTTAGAAATCCTATTCTGGTGTGTAACTGGTCCAGTGGATAACTTGAGTGCATGGTGGCTAGGGCTGGGGTGGCAGTGGGTGTGGTGTGGTTTACTTCCCACTGCTTGCTGTCCCCATTGCTGTGGAAGGGGTGCACCTGTTGGTTGGGCTGGTGGTTGAGTTTTGTGGATGGGTGGTTGGTGTGTAAGTGTGTATGGTGAAGCAGGACCAGGTCACCTGTCATGCAGTTGGGCTCTACAGGGACTGGGAGGGGTTGGAGTTTACTGTAGGGAGTGTGATGTTGTGTCTTGGTGTTCTGGCAATGGGGGCACCTGTGCACATACTTGGAAAAAAATGAAGAGGAGGCGAGGGCAACCAAAAGAGAATGATCTCCCCCAAAAAAGGAAGATCTCCCCCGACGGGATTTGAACCCGGGTCGTCCGCGTGACAGGCGGAAATGCTAGCCAACTACACCACAGGGGACTGGTTGCTTGAGATCACCCTACCCCATCACCGCACCTTTATGTTCTTGATCGCACTGTCTCCAGGTGGTCCACGATCCCTTGCCTCACTCTCGGGGGTTGATAGGCAAACTCTGGGTGCAAAGTGGAGAACACATGCATATTTGCTTGCAAGGGGAAGAACTTATGATGGGATGTGTTGGGCCTGAAGAAAAAAGAGAAAAGAAGGAAGAAGCACTTTCCTCCTTCACCTGTGGTGGTTGCCGGGCCAGCTTGCGACTGTGCAAGTTCAACTTGGTTGAAGGGGCTGGGTGGGTGGCTGGTGCTGGCTTGCCGCTCAGAGCAGGTCGTAGAAGTAGTCGAGGCCCTGACCGATCTCCCATATCGAGATGCCCACACCCAAGCTTCGCGCCAGCTCCAACTTGTCGTGTACCGACTGCGTGGTACCCGGACCAATGTTAAAATTGCACCACGATACACACACGCACGCGAAACAAGCTGAAGACGAAGAACACGAATAGAAGAGGAACCTTGAGCGTTGGGTAGAAGACAGTGTGCTCCTCCTCGCCCTTCTTGTAAGTGAAGGAGTGCTCATGGTGCGCAGCGTGCCACACAAGCTTGGGCTTGTAGGAAGTCAGCATCTTGATGTAGCGCGACCCGATGACGGCCTCTGCATTCTGTGGCTGCCAATACTGTGTGTGTGTGTGTGTGTTCACGATCGTTGAGTGCTACGTCACGCCGCCATGTAAGATCCGGGACCCAGGAGTACCTCGTAGCCGTAGAAATTGATGCCCATGAGGATCTTGTGGCCCAGCTGGTTGCCGCTGGTCCGGTGGTCCGGTGGCAGCAGTCGGAGCACGTTTTGCGTCACCCACGACAGCGGCGCGGTCGGGCCAGGCCTGGTCAAACAGCCAACAGCCAACGTCATCATCGACAACAAGAAGTGTGCGCGAGCGTGCAGCGGTAATGACGAAGGAGAGTAAACTCACCGTTGCGGGTTGGAATAGTCGTAGGTCATGAGTGAGAATCCGTCAATGTACTCAGCCAACCACACGAAAACTGACGACGTCAAGCTGTTCGCATTCGGGTTGCCCTTTTCCGACTGTCGTGTCGTTGGTCGTGTGTGTGTGTGTGGTGGTGGTGGTGGTGGTGGTGGTGGTGGTGGTGGTGGTGGTGGTGGTGGTTAGCGATTGTCCTAGGATGCGGTAAGCAGGCTGTGGGAAAAAGTAGGCTTGCATACCGGAATGACCAGAATGATCTTCTTGTTCAGCTCATGCAACTCGTTGGCCAGGCCGATGATGAACGGCGAGATCTGAGTGTTGAGCACGAAGTTGTGCTCCAACACAAGACCATCGAAGTTTTGGGCTCTGGCGAGGTCAGCAGCAAAACAAAGGCAACACCTAAATGAGTTCGTGTGTGGTGGTGCGTGTGCGTGTGCGGTTTGGTGTCGGTGCGGGAGCACGTACACGCACTCCCTGACGAGCAGGGCGATGAGTTGGTTGATGAGGGTCTGCTCGGCGAAGAGATGCTGGTAGTCTTCGAGCAGCCAGCCGTGGAACATGAACCGCGGTACAATGAGCGGAGCGGTTGCGTTCTCCACAACGTTGCGCACGTCCTTCAGCCAGCCCTGGTCGACGTCGTGCCGTCCGGTGAGCTGCACCTTCGACTCGCCGCGGTCGTCTGGTGCACAGTGCAGGTTAGCAAGCAGGCTCTACACTTGCCACAAAATGATCGTCATCATCGGCTCAGTAAGAAGCGTTGGCCGTACACTTGATCTGATACCAGACAGGCGACACGTAGGTGAACTTGGAGTTGAAGACCTTGGCCATATCGTATCCGTGTGAGTTCCTGATGGGGAAAAAACAGTGTGATGGTGAATCGCCCGATTTTCATTCATTCCATTGAATGAGGAAATGGGAGTGTTACCAGGGGGTGACATAAACGAGGGTGGGGTTCTCAAAGTTCTTCACGGAGGCTTGTTCAGTGCTGTACTTCTTGTGCTGGTTGACGATGCTCTTAGCCGTAGGATTCTCCTTCACCAATTTGCGCTCCATCACTGTGCCAACCTTAGGCGTTACCGTAACGCCAGCGGCACACACCACCATCGCTGCGCACACACATGCCAGAAGCAAAAACCTCACCAGTCGCGCTTCCATCTTCGCCAGCGAGCAGAACAGAAAGACTGCGCTGACACTGACGTCATCACACACCTTTTTCCAACGCCTTTTCCTGAGAACTTTTCTTTTCTTTCTACCTGCTTGCCACCAGTCTCATACGAGCGTCGTGGCCTTCCGCACTTCCCGTTACAGGAGAACGTCAACCGTGGTGCTGCTCCATCATGCCCAGCGGGTACCGCTCACCATTGGCCGAAGACGAGTTTTACAAAAACTAAGAATATTTACGGAAGAATTGGTCTGGCCTTTTCCTCTTGGGTCCCTTCATAAGCGCAGCTCGATCCAGCCAACACCCCACATACTCTCTTGTCCAACAACAAGACCAGCCATCTGGCCTTAGCAACTGTGCAAGTAAGAAAGTGTTCTGAACCAGAGAACCACCAACAAACATGCAGGCACCTTCCCCCTCACCACGGTCGGCAACTTGCGCTAGAGCCGTGGAAAGGCTGATGAGGGACCTGCACGAGCTGCAGTCCGAGCCGTGTCGCACCGTGTGTGCCGCCCCGCTGGAGAACAACATGCTCTGGTACCCTTCCTTCACCATCCTCTCAAAGGTCATTATGGCTCTTGGTGCCCACCACAATCGCCCCTCCCTCCCTGCCACCAGCTGGCACGGCAACCTGCGTCCACTGTCGGGACCCTACGCGGGGGCGGTGCTGCACATCATCGTACGATGCCGCACAACTGCACGCGCAGATCGATTGACTGCTGAGTCACACAAACACAAACTAATCGAACCGCGTCCCTTGGCCAGATGGAGTTTGCAGAGGACTACCCCGCGAGTCCACCACAGGTGAAGCTGTGCCAAACCATTCCGCACCCGAACGTGTTCGGGGACTACATCTGCCTGGACATGCTCAAGAGCTACACCGTCAGCCAACGCTACGCCGGGTGGTCGTCGGCCTACAGCGTGCAGTCGATCTTGCTGCAGCTGCAGGGGTTCCTGTTCGCCGAGAACATCCCGCAGGAGCACGGCGGCCCGATTAAGGCTTACTCCGGCGACAAGGTCGTGTCGGTGGCCCGCGCGTGGCTGGACAGCTTCGCCTGCGCCGCGTGCGGCCACACCAGCGCCCAGCCCCAGCCGCCCCTCCCCGAAGTCGATGCCTTCGTGCCCCCGACCGTCAGTACGAGGGCCGAGCAAGAGGCGAATGAAAAGGGGAAGGAGAGGGAAGAGGTGGTGGGCGGTAGCGATGGCGTCGTCGTCGACGACGGCGACGGCGACGAGGAAAAGGAATGTTGGTTGCTGGAGCTTCCGGCCGAGAGCTTGCTGCATATTCTACAGTACCTGCAGCACCGGAACGACCTGCTCGCGGCGGCCAACGCTAGCGCGGTGCTGGGTTCGATCGTCCGGGAGTACTGCCTGCTCGAGCGCCGGCAGAGCGTCATCTGCTTCCACTCCAAGCGCACGCACGAGGAGGACGTGCTCGGGGTGGGCATCTCGCTGGAGCACTTCCCCGGGCAGGCCCGGATCAAGGCCATCAACACATCGCTCGACGTGTTGTCCCTGCGGGCCTTCACTCAGGACCGCGTGCGGCTGTCGGTGTGGAAGGAACCGTTCCGCCTGTTCCTGCCGCTGGTGATCGGGCCGGACCACTTCGGCCGCGCCCGGGAACACATACTGGATACTCTGTCCCGGATCGAGAACGAGGGCGGCGGCTTCACCGGCCGCTTGCCGCAGTGGACGCGCGACCCGATCGATCAGGCGCGCATGCTGCTCGCGGTCCTGCCCAAGCTCATGAACTCGTTCGTCGTGTCGCTCATGAACAACAACAGCAACTGCTCCACAGCGAGAGGGTTCGGGCCTCGCACCAACAACTCGCAGGTGCTCTCCGAGCGGGCGCTCGAAGGCTACTGCTCCTTCCACCACATGCTGCTCACCTTTGGTACGCCGATCGCACACATCTTTGTCGCTGGGCAGTCGAGTCGCCGTACTAAACTGTGATCATTCCAATCACATGGCTGCAGCGAGGGAAAACCCAGAGGTGGAGCGTATGGCCAACGAGGCGGTGGACAAGTTCCTGGCCAGCCCCGCGTTTCGGTCGAAGGCGCACACGCCCGACCTGGGCGAGTGGCTGGTCAACCTCACGCTCTCCACGGCCGGCTGGGAGGGCGTGGCCGAGCAGTTCCTGGGCGAGCTGTTCGTGCGCAACGTGCGCTGGATACTGCAGGACGCGCCGCACCTGGCCCACATCCACACCGGACGCGGCGGCGGGCAGTCGGCGCTCATGATCGACGATTCGTTCACGTGCACCCTCGTGAGCCGTCGCCTGGTCATGTTCCAGGTCTACTTCCTCAAGAACATCGGGCGGCCCAACAACCAAAGTACGTCGTCGTCACCAGCATCTTCATCTCTGCAGCTGAAGAAGGAGCTAACGAACAACAACCACTACAGGTTGGCGGGACAGCCTCACGACGTATCATCGGACCATGGGCCGCCCCACGCACTCTATGAAGGCGCACCTGCACGCGGCCTCGAAGGCGATCATGGCCGTCGCCTCGTGGGAGTACGTCTTCGCTCTGGACACCGACTCGTTGACGCCTTGTCTGATTTGCACTCGTCGCTTACTTACCTCTGGCTTGTGTGCCCACAGCGAGTACTTTGATCGCATCTGGATGCCGCGGATGTCTGGGCCGCAGCTCACGGCGCGACTGGGCTCGGCCATCGCAGAGAGCGCCGCTCGCAACTACCATCGCACACCGCGCTCGTTCGGTGTGCCGAGCGCTCTCCGCACGTCGTCGTCGACCGACACCCCGCGGTTCCTCCACCAACAGGCCGCAAGCGACGTCTCGCCGGGCTCGTCGTCCACCGCCAGCTCCAGCTCCAGCCCTGCTGGCGACCGCCCCTTGCTCGCCCACAGGCCTGGGCGTCGCGCCCGCGACGAGCGCGACGATGACAGACACAGGCCGGCCAAGCGGCACCGGCGAAGCGATAGTCGTGACCGCAGCCGCAGCCGCAGCCGAGGAAGGGACCGGTACCACCGCGATCATCGCCAAGGCCGCCATGACCCCAGCTACGGACTCGACCGGGAGCTGGGGAGCAGGAGGCGCGACGACCGCAGCCGCGAGAGGCGTAGGCACCACTAAATTGGGGCCTCGTCGTTGGCGCTCAGTGTTGCAGTGAGCATTACCAAACAAAAGAGGTTTCGTTATTGTGACAAGAGGGTGATGGCTGTAGTAGTGGTTTAGGGGTAAGTCACCAATTTCAAACTTGTTTGGGAGGTACCAAAACGTAAGGTCGCGCTCTACCTTCGATGGTGCGGCGGCCGGAGGAGTCGCTCCCACTCGAGGGACGAGGGACGAGCAGCGAGCAGCAGGTCCGGCGGAATGGCGGAGGCCCCGGGAGTGCCCTCGGGCACAATACACGAGTCCCAGCCTTGCCTGTGAAAACGTCAGCTCGCGTGTGAGAAGACATCTGGTGTCGGAGGTGAAGATGGAAGATTGAAAGCGAAGCGGCCGGTACCTGATGGCTTCCAGCTCCTCTGGGCTTCGCGATGCTTGCTGTTTGTAGGTTGGGGCGTAGTTGGCCTTGGCTGGCGCCGGCGAAGCTGCGGCAACCTCGGTCTTTCGCTTCTTTCGCTTCCGTCTGTTCGTGTCGCCGAGCTCCTTGCCTTTCTCCTTGGCCGGCCTCACTCCTCTTCCGCCCTCTACTTCGATGTCATACTCTTCCTCTTGTTTCCTGCTCGGTGAAGCCACGCTGGCCACGACCGGCGCTTCTTCTCCAACGCTTTTGCCGTGAGCGTCAGCTCGTACGGTTTCGCCTTCTCCCTTCCCTTGCTCCTCTGCGTCGGCTTGTCGTCGCTCCTTCTTCTCGTCCTGAGCGCGCTTGACCTCTTCAAAGTATGTAATCGGCTCGGTGACCCCTGGAAACGACACACAGAACGCACATATCAGAAACCTGTTGAACAATCACCGACTACGGTACCCCCAGGGGGGCGACGAGATACGCTACCCTGCTTCAGCCTTCGTATTCGAAGCAGGACCTCGAGACGTGCGGCGATTTGGGCCTTGTAATCGAGCTCTCTGGCGCGCTTCCTCTTCTGTCGACCCTCGATTCGGTCGGCCACCTGCTTCTTCCTGGCCTGATGATGACGACGGTGAGGAGGAGGAAGAAGAAGGCAACGTGTGTCAGTGTTGTTAACACGAAGGATCAGAGGTGACGGCGGGAGTAGATCATACCGCGACTTCGGCGAGATGGATGGCCTCCTGCCGGGCGCGTATCTCCTCGGCGGTGCGTTCGATTTCCGCCTTGGAGGGCGCTGCCGCCTGCTCCTGCCGACGCTTCTCCTTCTTGCGTTTCTGCCAGCGCTGCCAGAAGCGAACGACACGGCGAAAAGAAGAAGGACTTAGTGTCGTGACCACAACAGCGCATTGAGCAAAGTCGTGCGCCCTACCTTGTTACGCTGGGTTTTGAGCGTACGGTTCTTGAAGCGGGTGTAGGCCTCCTCGTCCTCGAACACCGACATGAGCTGGGCTAGCGCGGCCTCCTTAGCGCTGATGTCTTGAGGCTAGTCAAGGAAGTGGTCGGACTCGGAACGTGAGAAAGCACTCACTACACGCGTGCGCAAGCACGATCGTGTGGTGTGTGGTGTGTGGGTGTGTGTGGGTGGGAAGTGCCGGTGTACGACGGCAGCAGAGGGTGAAAAGGATACCTCGGTGGCATGCTTGATGGTGTCCAGCAGCACTGCCACCTCGCGCAGGCGCGCTTTCACGTCCGCAGTGCGCCATGAGAATTGGGGAGAGGCCTGCTGGGCTCCACTCGCAGTGCTTTGGTCCGCGTCCCTGTTCCTCTGCATCCACATCTCGAGCCATGCATCTCTCACAACACCTGCATCCATCCAACTGATGAGTTCGCGCTTACTCCAATCTCGCTTCATCGGGCAAGCGTAGGAAAACCTTGTGCCATCTTGGGAGGCGTTACAGGGACGTAGACGGGCGGTGTTAGTGCTGGGACGAAGGTGGGAGGCAGCCCTCCGTTCCAGGGCATGGCGGAGCGAAGATGCGGGGGCGGCAACGGGGACGAATCTTTGCTCATGCGGGAATGGAAATGGCGTGATTGGAGGTGCATAGGAGGGATATCCCATCGGCGGGGCGAAGCGGAAGTGGGGCTGGAGTGGACCGCGCGTAGGGGGGGAGGGCAGAAGGCCCTGTCCTTGCGAGCTTGTTGGGCCATACATCTTTACATTTACCAATTTTCTTGTAAATTTTGTGTTTCGTTTTACTCAATTTTTTGGCGGTGATCTGAGGTTAATTTTTGTGTCGGCAGCAAAAGGGACGAATAAAGGGAAAAAGGACCTGCTCACTTCATTTCATTCATTTAATTGTCGGCTGTGTGCTCGTTTGGCCCACGATCTTACCAAAAGGGCTGGTTAGGCTCGAGATGGAGGCTCACGCACTACCTCTTGTGGTACCTTCCGTTATATTAACTGAACGAATCAAATCAAATCCACACACTTTGTCGGGGTGGTTGTTGACCGTTTTTTTTTGTTTTTCGTTTATTTCGTTTTCATTTTTGGTGCTAACCCCCTTTTCTCCCTCTGTCGCTTTCGTTCTTTTGTCGTCGCGCTGCGCTCGACACTTAGGTGCCGGGCACGCTGCACAAGGACCAGAAGAAGGGTCGCACGCTGCGTGGAAAGAGCGGCAAGCACCTGTGGTTCCAAAAACAGGGTGGGAAAGTCTATTACGCCACCAAGAACAACGGCGGCGAGATCGGCGAGTCGAACGCCAAGGGCTTCATTCCATGCGCGGGTATCCTTCGCATGTTCGAGCTGACCGAAGAGACAGCCGTCGCGCCCGCCACCGCTCCAACGGGCGACACCGCCACCGCAGCAGCAACGCATGCGCACCAGGTCGAGCTGCTCACCACCGAGGGCCGCATCGTGCTGACCTTCGCCTCGAAGGACGCCGCAGGAGCGTGGATGGCCGCGGTGCAGAGTGAGATGCAGCAGCGGTCGCTGAGCGACCCGCGACGCAAGTTCACGATCGAAGACGTGCGCATGCCGGCCGCCAGCCTCGGCGGCGGCGGCAGTGATGACTGCTCGGGTGGTGCCGGCGCTGTGCCGCCTTCGCCGAGGAGCGCAGGCGGGACCAGAGGACACGACGACGACGACGACGACGAAGAGGAAGCCCGCATGTCGAAGATCGGCAGCTTCATCCGCGGCAAGGCCCGACGCAAGCGCAGCTCGAGCGACAAGGAGAAGGGCAAAGATAACAACAACGGCAACAGCAAGGGCAAGGACGGGCTGTCGGTGGAGGAGACCGAGCGACCCGCGGCCACGATTGCGTCGGGGACCTCTGAGGGCCGCAAGCGGCCGCCGCTCCCCTTCTCCTTCCGCAGCCGAGACGCGCGCGCGACGGTGGTGGTCCCGCCCCACAACAGGGAGAAGGGGGAGAGTGAGCAGGGCGGCGTCCAGGTGGTGTCGACCTTCTCGTCGCGCAACATCCCCATCGAGATCATGAACGCGCTCGCGGGCGTCAACAGCGGCGGCTCGACGCTCCCCGTCCCCCTGGTGTCGCCGGTGCGCAGCAGCAGCCCAACGGGCGAGGCCACGGGTGGCGAGGTGCTGTCCACGACGCCGCCGAAGGACGACGACGGCAAGATGAGGGCGCGCCATATGACGATGGCGACCGACTCGCCCAAGCTGGTGCACGCCATTGCGCCCCACTCGCCGGCCACCATGTTCGCCCAGGTGGTCAAGGAAGGGGTACGTTGTCTTCTCTCTCGTGCCTCGCGGCTTGCTGCTTCGAAATTTCCCACATAGCCGCTAAATCTTACCATTAATTGTAATTAGCATGGATATTAACCGTAATATCTCTCAAATTGATCAATTTATCACCAGAGCACGAGCAAGGTGCTATTCCTGCCTGGCGAAGGTACGGTGGAGCTTCCATTGACAAATTAGCGCCTTTACACAGAGCAACAACTTTATTGCGAATTAATTTATTTTTTATTTTTTATTTTGCAGACTTGAAGGCCGGTATACGAAACGTGCTCGTCCTGCTGCGCGGAAGAGCCGAGACTGCACGCGAGGGGTCTCTCTACATCACAAACTATCGCCTCCTTTGGCGCAATCCATCGGTAACGGCACAACACACTCCAGCACGACACTGCACTTGCGTGGTCACTAATCGCGATTGGACACCGCAATCAGAATCGAAACGACATCCTGTCTATTCCCTTCCACTCCATCCGGGATAGCGAGGTGTCGGCCAACCAAGAATGCCTCTTTATCGAGTGCGCCGATTTCCGCAGCCTCGAAGTCTACTGCAAGGGACCTCAGGTCAGGCCTCCCCTTCTCACTGGCACCCAGCTGCGCTCTTGTCGCACATCTGCTGACGTCATAATTGTATTTATGTTATTTATTATTATTATTATTTCTAGGGCAAGGGCGTCCAGCCCGAGAAGCAGAGGCTTATGCAGTACGAGGACCAGAAGACCCTCCGCCGGGAGCTTCGGTCGCATCTGTCGCACTTGAGCCTGGCCGAGCTGTTCGCCTTCCAGAACAAGGAGCGATTCCCTCTCGAAGCCGAGCTGGCCGGCTGGCCCATCTACGAGCCACGAACCGAGGCCCAGCGATGGCACCTCTCCATGGACCAGGTTCATCCACTTGTCGCCACCGTGGCTTCTGGTGTTTGGCGCCAAACCGTAACGTCGTGTGCTGCTTGCTGATTTCTCTCGTCACTCACTCCCCACGCAGTGGCAATTGGTGGAGAACACAAAGTTCAAGCTGAGCCCGTCGTACCCGCCACACATCATTCTTCCCTCATTCCTTAATAAGGTACACGACGCGTGACAAGACGCAAAAAACGAAACACATATCGCGAATTCCTTTCCTTATCGTGGCTTCGACTCGTGGCGCGGTGGCGCCTGTGCAGAGATCCATCGCAAACGCCTTGGATAACTACGCCGAGCGGCGCATTGCGGCCCTCTGTTGGAAGGACCCCAACATCGACACCGCGCTCATTTTCCGTTCGGCCACGTCGAGCAAGTACACGCTCCTGTCTGACATCGCGCGGGTGCGGTCCCACCCGACCATTCACCTCTTCAACATCACCTTCTCGGCGACGGAAAAGAAGGGCGGCGTCGCCGGTGCGAGCGATTGGGAGGGGCTCGAGGTGAGCGACGAGACTGCTCCAGGTACGTGTGCGTGTGTGCGCGTGCGCGCGCGAAGGGTTGTTGCTAAGAGGCTCCCTCACTCCGCTCGTGTGACTAGTGGTCAAGGAAGAATTTCTGTGCAACGAAGATCACCTCAACGTGATCAACCTGGAGCTCCCGTCACCCGCGTCGGTGGGACTCAGCTTCGCCCGACTGAAGAAGGCCGTCAGCGAGCTCGCCTTCATCATCCCCAACGACCGAGAAAACTGGATTCCGGTGCGCAAGACTGCCCCCCCCCCAGCACTTCACCTCGCGCCCATGGTTTATTTATTTGCGGTGTGTTGGTGGCCGCTATCAACGACAGGCCTTGAAAGCCACGCGATGGCTGCACAACATGCGCCGGTTGCTCGAAGCTGTGGCCAAGGGCGTCTCCACCCTACAAATGCGCGAGCCGATCGTCGTGCAGAGCATCGACGGCAAGAACTGTGTGCCACAGATCACCTCTCTCATCCAGGTACCTGCCGATCTACTTATCTACCTACCTATCTTCCACCTTGCCAGGCCTTCATGTGCTGTGTGGCGTATATGTGTAAGCGCAATGTCTCACCTGGTGAGTGTTCTATTTTTTTGCGGTACATTTGTAGCTGTGCGTTGATCCGTACTATCGAACATTCAAGGGCTTCAGCACCCTCGTCGAAAAAGAGTGGATCAGCTTCAGTACGCGCCCATTCCCTGGGAACAGCTTCTTTCACAACACAACGTGCTGTGCGCACAGGCTTTGCATGCTCAGTACTGTGTTTGGTTTGCGTGGCACACAGCGCATGACTTCGGCCAGGGTCGGAAGAAGCCGCACGGCAAGAAGGAGGCCAAGAAGAGCAAGGTCAGGGGGAACATGACCCACATCTTCGTGCAGTTCATGGACGCCGTGTGGCAGCTCTGGAGCCAGTGCCCGCGCAGCTTTGAGGTACGCGCTCACGCCACTGTGATTCGTATCGGCTGCCTCATCGCTGACTCCTCCAATCCAACTCCTCCACAGTTCTCCGAGAGTTACTTGCTGTTTATCTTGGACTCCCTATACAGGTACAATCTTCTCTTTTCTTCTCTTTGCTGCTTGAGCGAAGGGCAATGGCTGTGTACCAAGCGACTAACTGTGTGTACTTTCGTTCAGCGGCCGCTTCGGCACCTTTTTGGGAGACAACTTCTACAAGCGGCACAAGCACAAGCTCGTGCACAGCACGGTAAGAACGTGCCCCCCCCCTCTTCTAGCAGGCCTAGCAGTGACAACTTTATCTCCTGACCGAGAGTCTCACAACAACAGGTGTCGGTGTGGTCCTATCTGTATGCCAACCGTGCGAGCTACACCAACCCGCTCTACAGCGAAGCACACAGCCACCGCCACACGCTGGGCAAACCCATCACCATCGCACCGCTGCTGGCACGCCCCCCTCCCGCCCGGCCCCTTCAAACTGGCCGCGTGGCCTGGCTGACCGAAATGAGTTTGTTGTCGACTCCACAGGCCAAGTTCTGGTCGTCCTACTTCCTGCAGTTTCAATGCCGTGATACGCTCAACCACGCTTCGCTCATCATCGACGCCACGTTTGGCCCGCGAGAAGAGCTTGGCCTGTCGATGGGGTCATCATCGTCCAGCGCCTCGTCGTCCGCTCCGGCGATCCAGGCCATCCGCTCGTCGTCACCCACGCTGCTCTCGCCCCTGCCCTCGCCCTCGCCCTCCTGGGCGTCGCCGATGACCGAGACCAGCGACACTCTGCTGTCGTTCACCGACTCCCCGCGCTCGAGCCAGAGCCCGCTCTCGCTCTCGACCGCGTCCACCGACGAAGACTCCTCGGCGTCATCCGCATCATGGGCTGCTCAACAGACGGACTCGTCGTGCTCGCAGCGCGGCAGCGTGTCGGCACTCTCGTCGCAGACCTCGTCGGCGTCGTCGTCGCTGATCGTGCCCGCGCTCAACCTGGCGCGCAAGGGCCTGCACAGCATACCAGCCGAGCTGTCGGCCACGGACGACCGCCGGTTCGGGCACATGACGGGGCTCAACCTGAGCAACAACATACTCAGCTACTTCTCGTTCCTGGTGGCCCACCTGCGCCAGCTCGAGGTGCTCAACCTGTCGACCAACGAGTTCCGCGAGATCCCCGAGCTGCTGGCCCAGTCGTTCGTCGAGCTCACACGGCTCAGGGAACTGGACATCAGCCACAACAAGATCTATCGGCTGCCGGCCCAGCTGTCGCTGCTGACCAACCTGCAGCGGCTTGAGGCCAGCCACAATCGGCTGCTCTACACCCAGCAGGGCGACGAGGCCACCAGCGAGCGGCTGTGGGGCCTGTCGGGCGACGGCGGCGCGACGGCCACGCGGCACACGCTGGCCTCGTTCGACTTTGCGCCGCTGGCCGACTCGCTCGAGTACCTGTCCATCTCCTACAACTCGCCGAAGGCCAAGCACGCGCCGAGCGGCGGCGGTGCGACGGCCAGCAGTCGCTGTTCGGCCTCGCTCGACCTCCACCTGTTCCCGCGGTCGCTGCTCGCGCTGACCCACCTGACGACCCTCAAGTTCCACGGCAACAACATCCCCTACCTGCCGCCCAACTTCTTCGCCACCTTCAAGCGCCTGCAGGACCTGGACATGGGCGACAACGCCATCACCATCCTGCCGTCGGGCCTCGGCGGGCTCCAGCTCACCTCGCTCAACATCAACAACATCGAGCTCAAAGAACTCATGCCCCAGGAGGTATTCCAGGTATGCACACATTCCATCACCGCCACACTGTGTATGCAATTAATTCCTCACCTCTTTATTTATATTTTGATGGCAGCTGGATGGCACGCTGCGGGAGCTGCACGCGCAGGGCCTGCGACTGGTCAAACTGCCGCCGGGCTTCTCGGCGCTCACGGCGCTGGAGACGCTCGATTTGTCGAACAACGTGCTCAGCGCCTTCCCCGAGAGCCTCCTCACGCTCTCCAACCTGCAGTGCCTGACCCTCAACGGGAACAACCTCACCACGCTGCCCACCGGCATCAAGCACCTCAAGAATCTCGAGAAGCTCTACCTCAAGAAGAACGAACTCGTGTCCCTCGTGCCCGAGATCGGTACGAGCCACCACCACCACCACCCCGCTTCACCTCTCGCCCATTGGGCAGAGACCTGATCAGATCGCATGCGATTGGCGCAACAGGTTTCTGCAAGGCGCTGGGTGTGCTGGATATCAGTGATAACAAGATCAAGGAGCTCCCACCGCAACTCGGTGCCCTGCCACGCCTCCGGTACGCCGCCGACGCTTCTACACACTTTGCGCCGCCACCGCCAAGAGGAAGAAGAAGCTAACTTTGATTTGGGGGTGTAGACGGCTCATCATCGGAAAGAACATGCCGCTTGTGTCGCCGCCGATCAATATCGAAGCCGAGGGCGAGGAGGCCGTGCTCGGGTTCATCAAGCAGTTCATCAACGGGTTCGAGCGGTGCTACCGCTACAAGCTCATGCTCGTGGGCCAGGAGAACGTTGGGTAAAGCCCGCCCCCCCCTTCACTCACGCGCACTGGACTGGACTGGCGCCACTGACTGCACTACTGCAACTTCCCACTTCACACAGAAAATCGACACTGCTGCGTTGCCTCAACAGCCAGCGAACGCAGCGAAAGCCGGACGCCCAGCAGCCCAATATCTCGACCGACGGCATCGACATCGGTACTCTTAAAACACCCTGCCTGCAGGCAATTGCGATTGTGGACACGCTAAGTACCCAGGCGCTGACTACGCATCTCTTCCACTCCCCCACCGAAGGCGAGTGGACCATCAAGGTAACGCGCGACAACGAGACCAAGGAGATCTCGCTCACCACTTGGGACTTTGCTGGTACCTTGCCGCAATTCATACAGGCCGCCTAACAATCATGTTAGTCAGAAGCGTTCTGACCTGGCTTGGCTGTTTGTGGGCGTCTGGTTGGTGCATGGTTGCAGGCCAGGAGTTGTATTATAGCACACATCAATTTTTCCTCTCGGAGCGTTCGCTCTTCCTCCTGGTCACCGATGTCTCCAAGCCGCTCGAGTTCTCTCGCCTCGACTTCTGGCTCGAATCGATTCGTTCGCGGACCAAGAGTGCGCAGGTCATCATCGTCGGCACCCACATTGACGAGAAGGTGCGCCACCACACCCTATCCCTTCCCTTCACCCGAGAGATGCGCGCACTCGCCCCCTTGGTATTGGTGCGCACCTTGATATCAACGTTCTATGATTCGGGATTGGGTGACAGATCTGTACGTCCGAGTACTTGGAAGCCAAGGAAAAGGAGATCAGAACCAAGTACCTCGCGCGCTACCCCAACATCCACGCACTCTGCCTCATCAGGTACCGAGGCCTTTACAAATATATGTTTTTTTTGTTTTTGTTTTTTGTTTTTTCGTCTCAGCAACGACGCGCTCACTGTTTTTTTCAAAAATTGCAAAGTTGCTCGAACGGCAAGAACATGTCGGCGCTGCATGCCAAGATCGAAGAGATCCTCTCCTCGGAGGTCCACCTCGGCGAATTCCTCCCCAAGAGCTATCTCGAGCTTGAGCGCATGATCCTACAGGTACCACCGTCTCCTCAGCTCCGCGCGTGTGTGTGCGTATGCGTGTGCGTGTGCGTGTGCGGTGGTGCGTGTGCGGTGGTGCGTGTATTCACGTGAGAGCGCTCACCCTTGACTTTTCTGTGCTGTATACAGCAACGCAAGAACAGAGCCGAGGAGGGCCTGCCTCCGATCGCGCTGTGGAGCGAGTACAAGTCGTGGGCGGAGCTGTGCCTCATCGAGAACGAGAAGGAGCTCAAGATCGCCACCACGTTCCTCCACAACCTGGGCTCCCTCCTCTACTTCAGCGGCGACGAGAACCTGGCCGACGTGGTCATCCTCGACCCGCAGTGGCTCACCGACGTCATGGCCACCATCATCACCACCAAGCACAACTACCTGGGCCGCGAGGGCTACGAGGGCATCCTCCAGCACTCGGTGCTGCCGTTCATCTGGCGCCCGCCCACCTTCCCCGACGACCTCCACGGCTTCATCCTCTACCTCCTCAACAAGTTCGAGATCACCTTCACCCTCGACGACGACGACGACAACAGCAACGACAACCAGGAGGGCGAGGGCGAGGCCCTGTCGCTCCTCTCGTTCCTACCGACCTCGGCCCAGGTGACGTCATCACCCGACCAGCCCCAAGCGCAGGCGCAGGCCCAGACGCTGAGCGCGTCGTCGCCACTGCCGGCCGACCACACTGCTTTGTTGTCGACGGGAACGCGATCGCGCTCGCCGTCGCTGGCCACGTCGGCACCGCCTCAGCTGCCGCCGGCAACGTCGCCAACAGCAGACGAGCCCGCGTCGTCCGCCGAGGCCGCGGCGCAGCCACAGTCGCAGACCCAGACCCAGACCGTGGTGCCCACGGTCACTGTGGACCCGGCCGTCGCGGCGCTCAAGCGGAAGAGCACGCGCGAGCTGCTCGAGCGGCTGGTCAACAAGCGCATCTCGCGCAAGCGGCGGCTCAAGGGCTGCAGCCTCGTGCCCGCGCTCCTCTCCACCAAGCGGCCCGACGACCTGGCCTCGGTCTGGCCGCCGCGGCGCGAGGGCGACGGCGTGCTCGAGTATGGCCGCATCTACACCTTTGACTTTGCGCCGTCGGGCTTCTTCGCCAAGGTGATGGTGCGGCTGCTGAGCTTCCGCCTGCCTCAAATACTCAAGTACTGGCGCAACGGCCTTCTGCTCTCGTCGGGCTTCGAGAAGGTATTTGTGGAATTCGATCCGACGCAGAAGGTGCTCAGCGTCACCATCCGCGCCGAGGACCGGGCACACGCCGACATGGGCGGCGCCGCGGCCGGCCAGCCCCAGAACAGCCAGGTCGCGCTGCCGCCGTCGCCGGCGGAGATCGACCAGCGCGACGAGGAGAAGCTGCAACAGCAGGCCAAGGAGCAGAAGCAGAAGAAGAAAAAGAAGAGCGGCAAGAAAGAGAAAGAGAAAGAGAAGGAAAGCGAAGGCAAGAGTGCGGAGCCCGACGCGAAGGAGGAGAAGCCCAAGAAGAAGAAAAAGAAGAGCCGACGCGAGAAGCCGGAGAAGAGCGACGCGAAGGACTTCTCGGCGACGGCTGCGGGCACCACCGCGAGCAGCACCGCCATGATGATGGGCAGCAGCGACGACGTCGCCAACAGCGATGGGACCGTCGTCGAAGCCGGGAAGGAGACGCCCAGCTTCCAGCTCCTGTCCCTTCTCGTCTTCTCGACAATCGACGCCCTCGTCCGCGATTGGTTCAAGGTACGCACACACACACACACCACGCACACACACACACACACACACACCATACACACAGGACAAGCACAACCTAATCGTTTTCATTTGTTTTGGGGCGCACACAGCTGGGCGTGGAGATCACGGTGCCGTGTCCGCATTGTATAGCTGGCAACCTGCCGAACGCGACCACGTTCTCCTTCACCGAGCTGCAGCGCGCCCTGCTGCGACCCGAGAATGCCTACATCATGTGCAAGAACGTGGGCAAGTTCGGGTACGCGCAGCTGATCCGCATCGATCGGCTCATGCCTGACGTGGCCATGCTCCACCTCGACGACGCCAAGATCGAGTTCTCCGAAGTCACCCTCGGTTCGTCCTTTCTTTCACACGCACACGCCACACGCCACACGCCACACGCCACACGCCACACGCCACACGCCACACGCACACGCACACGCAGTCAATCATCAACTGCGAGTTCTTACGATTGTGGTGCAGATGAGGAGATCGGTTCGGGCGGCTTTGCGGATCTGTACAAGGGCAAGTGGCGGGACGAGGTGGTGGCCATCAAGAAGTTCAAGTTCACCGACGACGAGACGCTCGCGCCCGACGACGTCCTGCAGGCCCTCGAGGAGTTCCGCCAGGAAGTCTGGATCATGGGGTACTGCCCATCACCTGTGCTGCTCGATTCCTCCACCTTTAGCCCACTCACCATTTCCTATGTCCTTTTCTTTTGTTTTTCTTTTTTTGTTCAGGGGCTTGCGCCATCCTAACATCGTGGCGCTGCGGGCCTTCTGCATGGAACCGTGCTGCATCGTCGAGGAGCTGGTCACCGGCGGGAACCTCCTCTCCTTCCTCCACTCCCCCGCAGAGTACCTCAGCCCTTCCCTGTGTGACCGCGTGTCGTGTGCGTGTCGTGTCGTGTGCGTGTGCGGCCACTGACCAGACATTCCACGTGCCCCGGCGCACAATTAATTGTCGACGCGGCAGGCTCGACTGGACGCTGCGGCTCAAGATCCTGAAGGACGTGGCCAAGGGCTGCGCCTTCCTGCACGGGACCACCCCGCCCGTCATGCACCGCGACCTCAAGACGCCCAACATTTTGCTGGTGAGCACGTCGCCCGACGCCGACCTGGTGGCCAAGGTGTGCGACTTCGGAGTGTCGATCAACTCGTCGGCGGCCGCGCTCGGCCGGAAAGTCGACTGTCCACGTACGTCCGCGCGCTTCGCTCCCTCGCAAGTGCTCTCGTCTGACTCCCCGATGACCGTGTGTCGTGCTCCATCGTGTGTGTCTGTCTGTGTGTCGTGTGTGTGTGTGTGTGTGTGTGTGTGTGTGTGTGTGTGTGTGTGTGTGTGTGTGTGTGTGTGTGTGTGTGTGTCATAGTGTGGCTCGCGCCGGAGGTGATGATGGGGAAGCCCTACACGGGCAAGGCCGACGTGTACTCGTTTGGCGTCATCTGCTGGGAGTCCATCGCCCGCAAGCGATTCTTCGAGGAGATCAGCTTCATGAGGTACCCACGCGAAGATGTCACACAATTCACCATCACCGCCTCTCAGTGATTCTCATCGCGTGTTTGTTTGCGCGTGTCGCGTCGCGTCGTGTCGTGCGGTGCGATGACGACGACGACAGCCTGATCGAGGAGAAGGTGATCGCCGGCAACCGACCACCGATCCCGGAGCAATGCCACCCCGAATTCGCTGAGCTCATCAACAGCTGCTGGCACCAAGGTTTGCGCCCTCGACACACACACCACACCACACCACACCACACCACACACAAGTTCAATTGTGTATTGTGTTTAAATTGCATGCACTGACACGACACAGACCCGAACAAGCGGCCGACGTTCGCGCAGGTGGTGGAGCAGCTGCGGCAGATCATGGCGCGGTACTGCCCCGAACACGTCGACTACGACCGGGACGTCATGGCGCGAGAGGAGGCGCTCGAGCGGCAGCGGCAGGAGCGCAACAGGCAGTACCGGCTCGAACAGAACAACGCCGACCGCGAAGGCGAGAACGAAAACGAGAGCGAAGAACGAAGCGAAGAGGAGGGGGGCGAGTCGGGCGAGGCCTCCGCCAACACGATGATGGTGAGCGCCGTCTCGCCCAAGCCGTTGCGGAAGCGGGGTCCCAGCATCAACGTGGTGCAGCAGGCCCTGGCCTGCAGGGACACCGCCCAGGCGACGCGCAAGGCCATGCTCGACCAGCTGCGTCAGATGAGCCGCCAGCGCGACCTGCCCCACACCTTCTCCCTCGCCCTCGCCCTCCCCGAGCCCGAGCAACTCACCGCCGCCGCCTCTCCCGCCGCCGACGCGCCCACGGCGGCCGCGACGCCACGACTTGCCGACGAGGCTGCGGCGATGAAGGAGAGCGACGCGTCGGCGATGATGCCTCTCACTCCGCGGGGCCAGTCGGGCGAGCCTGCGATGAACGATGCCGCGCCGCCACCCTCCGCCACCGACGATGGTGGTGCGACTGCGGCGGCGGCGGGCACGGCGCCCGAGGACGAGGCCAAGCTCAAGGAGAAGGAGGAGCGCAAGCGGCGGGTGGAGGAGATCCGCGCCAAGATGCAGAGGCAGACCTCCAGCCGCATCAGCGTGCCCAAGGGCGGCTCCAACGCGCCGCTGTCGCCCCGCCCGACCAACCAGGACCAAGGCTAGAGCGCTCGAACGAACAGCGATTGTGCCCCGCGCGCCTCCTTTGTAGATTGTAGAACAACATGGACAGAATCAACTGAAACACATCATTTCTGAAAGGAAGAAAGCGAGAGTGTGAAAGATGTTTGTTAATGGATTTGACCCAAGCTCTCAGAAGGGGCAGTCGAGGAAGGGCTGCTCGACGTTGGGATCGACGGCGGGTGCGTTAATGTGTCGCGTGAGAAAGTCGTCCTCCTCGTCGTCTCGTCGCGGCCCGGCCTCGCGTACAATCGCACCGAGGTCGACTTCGCGCACCTGCTGCCGGAAGAGCGCCATCCTACGGTCTTCTTCTTCCGCCTCTTCCGCGTCTCCCGCTTCGCCGGCGGTAGCGGCCGCCTCCTTGGCGTAGGCGTCGCGCGCGGGCGAGAGGAGGCTGGCGGCCTCGAGTCGCACCAGGCGCTCGTAGTCCTGGAGGGCGGCGATCAGTAGTCGGTCGCCGTCCAGCCCGAGGAACAGTGCCAGCGCCGTCGTTTGCCAGGAGCGCTCCTCTTCGGCGCCGTCGCCGTTCTCTTCTTCGGCAGTGCTCCCCAGCCTTCGCTTCTTCAGCCGTGAGACCTGAAAGTCGGACGGCTGCTGGTGGTGGTGGTCTTGATTCCGTTGCGTCTGGTCGAGGGCCGACGCGTCGGAATCGACTTCGGCCAGGCGCAGGAGCGCGAACAGCACTCGCACGCCGCGCAGTTTCACCTCCCAATCAAAGTCCTGCATCACGTCCGCAATCCTGTCTCTGCCGAGAGAGAGTGAACAACAACACGACGACAACCACAACATGAGCGCAAAGGGCTAGGACTTGTTTGAGATGTTGGGGGGGGGAATGGAACCTGAGCGCATCTCGTTGGTCGGGTGTACCCATCGCCGTGCGAAGCACTTGCAGCGTGTGGCGCCGGGTGAGCCAAGACCCGAGCAACTCCAACGCCGCCCTTGATGTGTGTTGTGTGTGTGTGTGTGTGTGTGCGTGTCGTGTGTGCATGTGTGTGTGTGTGTGTGTGTGTGGTGAGTGTGTGCCGTCTGCCGACAGACAAAATGGACTGACCAGTCGCACAAGAACGTTACCTCTTGACAAAGGCCTCGGTGTCGGTCAGTGCTTTGGTGACGAGACTCACAAAGTCCGCGGGGGCAGACCTGGCCACGGCCTGCCAGCCCTGCTCGGTGTGGGTCACCGACGAGAGGGTGGTCAGCGCCGCTGCCCGCACGTAGCTCTCCGCGTCGTCCAGCTTCTCCAGCAACACGCCGTGGAGTCCGTGGCGCAGGGCGTACGACAGCGACTGACCCTGCGGCTCGGACTCGCTTGCGCACGGGGCGAAGAAGGAGGCGATGAAGGTGGTTGCCGACTCGCGCAGCTCCCAGTTCCAATCGACCGCGAGCGCCCGTATGGCGGTGTTCAACTCGCGGCCAAAGCCCTGCGCGCGAGCGTAAAAACGAACGATGTCAATTGAAGAGACTTTAGCATCACAAGTCTCGTTTCGATGGCGCCAACGAACCTCGTTGTTGAGGAGGGCGTGCTGGGTGGTGGCATCGGCGAGCAGCATCTGCAGCAGCTTGAGCGCGGTCATCAGCACGGCTCGGTCGGTGGTCTGTCGTATGAGACACAGAATGGACGGAAAGCCGGGCGACACGAGAGCCGCATCCTCCGCTTGCCGGAGACGCTCGAGCCACTGCTCCTTCGGGAACCTGAAGGAACCCAACCGAGACGAGAACACAACACACCACGACATACACACGACACACACACGACACAAACACACACGACACACACACGACACACAGTATGAGCAGGCATGCCGATCTCGGCGGTCAAGGGCGCGGTGTGTGCGGTGGGTACGTACCGATAAAGGATTTCCAGCGCAGCTTTGATGACCCTGGGGTCTTCACCGTGCGCGAATCCCTCTTCGTCCTTACCGTGCATCTCCAAGAGGTGCAGGAGCCATGTCATCCACTCCGTTTCCTACCGACACGACACGACCAACGACACGACACGATACGACCAACGACACGACACGACCAACACAAGAAGGCGATGATGATGCGTGTCAAATAAAGCCGCACCTCATATATGGGAGGAGGAGAGAGATAGGCGGAGTGTACGAGCAGAACATTGGCGTAGCTGGCGTAGAGCGACACCAGTGCCGAGGACATGTGCAGCGCCTTGAGAACGAACACGGTGTGGAAGCTTGCGACAAAGTCCGCGAGGCCCGGGTGCTCTTCCTGCAGTTGCATTGGGCAGTTGGTCTTGCCCTTGGCGAGAGCAGCCACGACTCGGAAGAGCGAGGCGGCGAGCTCGCGGCCGGACGTCGACGGCCACAGCGCCAGCACAGCGCCCAGCTCGAGCGCCATTTGCACGTTGGTGCGGTGCCTGCGCATACAACGTTTAAACGTTGGTCAACTGGAGTGCCTCACGAGTGCGAGTAGCGTCGCAATGTGGTCGGTCGTCTCCGGTGTTACCTGAGTTGGACTCGTCGCTCGTCGCTGTCTTCGCCTTGTGGAGCAGACAAGAGTGCCCAGAAGGCGTCGTGGAGCACCTGCACGGCCGCTGTACTGAAGGTTAGCCAGCAGCAAAATAAATAAAAGAAGAAAGAAAGAAAAAACGGGAAAAAACAACGGCGCGCAGCGTCTAGACCACTTTACCTTGGTCGGGGTCTGTGGCTCCTTCTTCGGCGAGCAAGGCCTGCTGCTCCTTCTTGAGAACATCCTCCAGAAGCTCCAGCAAGTTAGACCGAACGAGGCGATCGGGGGAGGACAGCAGCGGCAGGGTTTTGCGCAAGATCTTGTGGCGCTGTGCTCATGTGTGGCGTTGCAGAGCGTGAGTACCACACACACACACACAACACACACGCACCACAGTGGGCGATAATACCTGAAGCAGTTGGTGTCCCTTGTCGTGCTGCATGAGCAGATCGATCAAGTTGAGCGTCCGCTTCTTGATGTCCGAGTCCTCGGTCGGGTTCTCGAGAAAGTCGGACAGAAGAGAGGGCAGGTTGAGCGACGCGGGGAAGCGGAAGGAGTCGACTCCTGCACAGAGGCCAACATCGATCGAGCTCGATGTGAGTGTGCAGAAGACCGACGGCCGTGGGCGACGTACGTACCTTCCCTGTTCACCAAGGCAGAGAGGAGAGCAACGGCCGAATCCGCGACAAAGTGGCTCTCGCTGCGGTAGTCCATCAGCAACACCTCCACCATGCGTTCGTTGTGCGCGCCCAGCCTGAAGGAGCAGAGCCGCAGAGTGAGACCGTGAAGCACGGCACGTAGGAGATTGAGCAACGAAGCGTGTGCTGCGCGTGCTGTGTATGGTGTGTGTGTGTGTGTGTGTGTGCGTGTGTGCTGGCGTGCGTGTATGCGTGTTCTGTGCGTGTGTGTTGTGTGCAGTCACGTCGTACCACCGCAGTCCAGCAGAATCGTGGGTCAAGCCGAGCAGGCAGTGCAAGGCCGAGTCGCGAACCAAAGGCTCACGGGCCGAGTGCGCCTGTGCCAGCAACTCGTCGAACAGCGGGGCATGGGCGGAGAGCAGACGCTCGAGTCCGGTGCCACTGCTTTGGCAGACTTTGCCCAGCAGCCGCCAGCACACGGACACGATCCTGAAGTCTTCTTCCTTCACACCTTTCTGCGGCGCGCACAAAGCCAATCAGCACATGCACAGCATGCATGGAGCACGCCAATCAATTAGATGTGGATGGGCACCGTAATGGTCTCTACGGCGCCGACTTGCAGGAAGGCATCGAACAGCTGAGGCGGCCCCTGGCAGAAGGAATTGAGGCGCGACTGCAGCTTCTCGAAGTGGGTGTCATCCAGCTCTCCTTGCGGAATCACGAGCAGCGCATTGAGCAGCACTCGACCGCGCGCCACCTGAGCTGCCCAGTCGCTGCCATCATTGCTCCACTGATCAGCTTCTCCATCTGCTCCTCCTCTCTTCCTCTTCTTGGCGTGCAGCCCCTCCGCCTCCATTCCCGTGCAAATGCGATTCAGACATTTGAATTTCAAAATCAATTTAGCAATTCAAAACAAAAATCCGTGCAAGAAATCAAAAGCCCGAGAAAAATACGGTTGTCTTTAGCGTGGTGGGCAATTACCGGGCGTAGCACGCGCACTGTCGACGGTGCGACAAGGGCAGGGACAGGTGCGACAGGCTCGGTGGATACCGTGCCGGATCAGCAAAATCGAAGGCCATTTCACTTCACCATCCTCAGGCTCGGCAAGCAGCAACGGACTGGCGCCGCGATTCGTTCATTTCCCCTTTCTCTGGGCGAATTGAATTAGAAAAATGGAGAATAATGATGTGAAGAGCGGACTGGCGAGCATCCTCGCTGGGGACCTCAAGACAGACGAGCTCTACCGTCAGATGGGTCTTCAGGCTGGAGGCCCGCCGAAGGGCGGCTCGATGATCGTCCCCCCCAGCTCATCACCCACGAATGGCGTGAAGACGGGAGAAAAGGACAAGAAGAAGCTCGACTCGGCGAAGAACAAGAAGAAGAAGGGCTTCTGGGGCCAGGTGGGAGGCTTCTTCGGCGTCAAGGAGGAGGAAGAGGACGCAACACCCATCTCGGGGCCAACCAATTTCAAACGAGAAATGCACATCGGTTTCGATTCACAAACGGGGACCTTCGAGGTGCGCTGCGCTCGCATCACGTGGCCTGCTGGGCAACCGGCCTGCACATGGACCTGACACTTTTCTGCACAATTTACGTAGGGTCTGCCAGAGGAATGGAAGATCATGCTGGGCACCTCTGGCCTCAGCCAAAAGGAAATCGAATCCGATCCCAAGACGCTTGTGGAGGTGATGCAGTTCCAGCAGAATCTGCTTCGAGGCGGCGCGCCTCCGCCTCCGCCCCCGCCTGGCGGCTCTGCTGCGTTCGTTGACGACGAGCCCCCTCCCCCACCACCTCCCCGCGACGACGGCGAGTTCGAGGCCCCACCCCCGCCTCCCGTGCCTCGCGAGCAAGAACCCGAGCCCCAGGTGCCACTCTCCATCCACGTTTGCAACATGTGCCAGTCCTCTCTTGTGCCGTGCCAGTGCCTGTCATGCACGGGAACTCAACTTGGTGCTCTCTTGGTGCAGCAGGCCCCGCTGTCGCCTCCGCCGCGGCCCATCAGCTTGCCTCCCGGTGCACGACCTCCCGTCCAGGTGGCGCCCGGCGCCGACTTGCCCGTACCGCCGCGCCCCAACCAGCCGCCCCCGATGCGCGGCCGCGGCGGTCCCATGCGACGCGGGGCGCCACCCGGCCGACCCTCTCCCGGCCGCACCTTGCCGCCTCCCCCGGGCGGTGCGCCTGCTGGACCCGGTCCCACCACCGGTCGCGGTCTGCCGCCTCGTCCGGGTGCGCCCAACGGCGCGCCCATGCCTCTCCAGCGCGGAGGAGCCAGCGGCGACGCGCCACTTCCGCTGACGCGAGGACCGCCCGGCGGCGGCGCTCCCCGAGGCCCTGGCGCACCACCGCCCAGGCCCGGCCAACCCGCGCCAATGCGACCCGGCCAGCCCGGCGGGCAGGGAGTGCCGCCGCCGCGCCCAGGCCAGCCCGCACCCGGGCGTCCGACCATGCGTCCCTCCCAGCCTGGTGGCCCGCCGCGTCCTCCGATGCCGGCGCCTGTTGCGCCCACCACGCCTACCGCCGCTGTCGCTCCCGCACCTGTTCCCGTTCCTGCCCCCGCCCCCGCTCCCGCACCTGCCGACACAACACCTGCTGCTGGTCCACCGCGACCCACGCCGCCAATTGCCACGGGAGCCCGACCAGCTCCCCCGCGTCCTCAGCCGCCCAAGGCCGGCGGCGCTCCGCCTCCGGCCGCGGCACCACAGCCCGCTCGCCCGCAGGTCAACATTCGCGATCTCATCTCCCAAGGCGACCCTCTCACCATCTTCAAGGACATGGAGATCATTGGCCAGGTATTCCTTCCCCTCACCTCACTTCACCCGATACGCGGCGCATGGACGCTCATCACCATTGATTTTTGCGTGCAGGGCGCCTCCGGCTCCGTGTACTCAGCAATCGACACGCGAACGGGAAAGAAGGTGGCAGTCAAGCAGATGATCATGTCCAAGTACGTTACGGTCTCTTTTTCTTTTTTCCCGCGTTCGGGAGGCTGACTCTCTCGGCTTGCAGGCAAGTGAAGCAGGACATCATCATCAACGAGATCCAGATCATGAAGGACTCGCACCATCACGCGATTGTGAACTACATAGATTCGTACATAGTGGAGGGAACGTTGTGGGTGGTCATGGAACTGATCAATGGAGGCTCGCTGGCGGAGCTGATCGAGGTTGGCTCCCTGCTTCCCTTCCTGTGTGGTGTGTGTGTGTGTGTTGTCAGCAGCAGCAGCAGCACTTGCTCACCGTGGTTTTTTGGTGCTCGCCAGGTGTGCAAGACGATGAACGAGACGCAAATCGCGACCGTGTGCAAGGTGGTCTTGGAGGGCCTGGAGTACCTGCACACGCGAGCCAACCCCATCATCCACAGAGACATCAAGTCGGACAACATTCTGCTGGGCTTGGACGGGTCGATCAAGATCACCGATTTTGGCTACGGTGCGCAGCTGGGCGTTGGGGCGGGACAGGTACACCACCACTCCTCCATCAGTCGTTCACTGCACCAGATGCTGATGACCTACCACCCTTTGCTTTGCCTGGACCCTGTAGGACAAACGCGCGTCTGTGGTGGGCACGACGTACTGGATGGCGCCCGAGGTCGTCAAGGGAAAGGACTACACATGCAAGGTCGACGTCTGGTCACTCGGCATCATGGCGCTCGAGATGTTGGAAGGCGAGCCGCCTTACATCAACGAGTCCATGCTCCGCGCGCTGTTCCTTATCGCCTCCAAGGTTCTAAGCCCCCCCCCAATCCTATGTCACAAAGTGTTGTTGGTATTTGACGCCGGCTGACGACTGACGCCGTCTCTTTACACAACAACCCAGGGTTGCCCGGATTTCAAGGATCCGGACGGCATGTCGGAGGAGTTCAAGGACTTCATCCGTAAATGCACCGTCATGGACCCCGAACAGCGCATGAGCACCACACAGTTGCTTTCGGTGCGCCTAGGCACCCCCTCTGCTCACGATCGCGAGGCCGAGCCACTAACCTCGTCATCATCTTCTTGGTAATCGCCGCAGCATCCGTTCCTTACGATGGGCGGGCCAGAGTCAGACCTTATTCCACTGGTGGAGCGGACGAAAAACGAAGCGCAGCGGGACTTCTCGATGTTCTTCTAGAGGTTCCTTCCTTGTGTTCATTGATTTTTTGCCACCGTACCATGTAATTTAGAACCGTACGCACTACCCCCACGCTCTTGTTTCCGTACTTGCCTTGAGTTGTCTAGTGTGCTTACAACTGTATTGTTAACAATAACAACTACAGTGCAGTTGTTGTAGAGCTGAACCTGATGGTATACCGTCTTGATGTATCTTGCTGGCGGCAGGAGGCAAGAGACAGAGAGGGGAGGGGCAACCCCGTCCCACATCACACGACTCCTATTTATTCCCTTCTTCCTCTTCTTTTTCTGTAACCAAACTACTCTCACCCAAGAAACTTGTGCAACAATTTAAATTAAAAAAGAAAATATTGGGCTTGTGAAATTCAAAAAGAAATCAAGAGAAAATAGGGATGGGCTGCCGTGAAGGATGGCCATAGATGCGCATGACTTCCTAAAATGGCTCTGCGGTCGCGCACCGTAGGTTGGTTCGTGCAGGTTTGGTTCAAGTGCAGGTTCAGGACGGGCAGGCCTTCAAATCGCCTCTCTTGCGACGATTTGAGTAAATCTCAAAAGCACTTTGCCGCGCAACTTAAGTAATGAGCCTGCGCTGGAAGAAGTTGTCTGCGACCACATCCGCCGTGCCCGTGCGGCGGGGCGCCAAGACGCTCCAGGCTCGTCCGTGCCACTTGCATCTCGTGCGCGCCGAGTCCGCCCCCAACGCAAACGGCGGCAGGCAACTGGTACCCCTTCCCCTGGCTGACCCTTTTCCCCCACCACGCCCGCAACTCTTCTCTTCTTCTTCAACTTGCTCTCGCTCTGGTAGTGACACGGCCACGTTCATGGGTGTTACTGCCCCAGGCGCTGCTGCTGCAAGTGAAGCGAGGCTCGAACGCCTGGCTGGTCGTGCGGACGGCCGCGCAGCTGGTCGAGCTCCACACGCAGGTGGGCGCCAGGTGCGCGAGCGCGTCCACTGTGCCCAAGCTACCCAAGCTGCCCGACCTCAACAGCCGCGCTGCCGGACGCTCGCCGTCCGAGGCCGGCGAGGTGGACCATCTGCCGGTGTCGCTCGACGCGCACGTGACGCACAAGATCCAGGAGTTCCTGCGGCGCCTGGTCGGCGGCTTCCACGGACCCGAGGTGGAGGCCTTCGTGTCCATCGACACCCCTCCCTCCCGCACGCTGAATCTGATCGAGGCTTGGCTCGTACGACACCACACACACGGCACACACGACACACACGACACACACGACACACACGACACCGCAAACGCTGACGAGTGCGCACGTTACACAGTTCGGGCCGGAGGCCGAGAAGGGGGTGGCGAAGCAGGGCGAGATGAGCGAGTACAAGGCAGGCGACAAGCAGTGGGAGCCGTGGTACTTTGTCCTGCGCGGCTCGTCGCTCCTCAAGTACCGCTCGGCCAGGCAGGAGAACGACCCGGCGAGCGTGTACGAGCTGGGCACCGCCGCCACCGCCAGGGCGGCGACCGAGCACCAGCCCGCCGGCGGCGGAGTGGAGGGCAGCGACGGCGAGCAACACGCGCTTGAGCTGGAGTACAACGGCAAGACGCGGCGCCTGGCCTGCGCCTCCAGGCAACAAGCTGACCAGTGGATCGACGCCTTCAACCAACTCAACGCCAGCGACACCACCAGCAGTAGCATCAGCAGCAGCAGCAACGACAACAGGAAGAGGTACACAGCGCCGCACATGGCCTGGGGATGGAGTTGCAGTGCGCCGGTGGCCGCCATGGCTGACTCTCACTGCGCGCCTGGCTGGTATCTGCATCGCAGGAGGAATGTGGTGTTTGGGGTGGAGCTGCCGCGGGTGACGCACGTTAAGAACGATCCCTGGTGGCGTCTTAGCGGTCCCAAGCCCGGCCAGGGGGCGTCCTTCATTGCGTGCGGCGCCGCGCAGTACGTGGACGAGCTCGCCGGCTTCCTCCTGGCCGCCGGTTCGCACCCCCCACCCCCTAACCGGCACGCACCACCGCACACGCACCACACACTCACCGCGGGCGCACACATGTATCACCGCACATGCACGCAGGCAAGGAAAAAGAAGGCCTGTTCGACCAGTTGCCCACGACGGAGCTGGTGCGGCAGGTGCGGGAGGGCGAGAGCGTGGACTATGGCGCCTACCAGCGGACCCCGGAGAAAGTGGCTGGCCTCCTGCTGGTGTTCCTCCACCAGCTGCCCGCGCCGCTCATCCCCTTCGAATTCTACGACTCCTTCGTGGCCGCCTTCAGTACGTCCTTCCCTGTCGTGTAGTTGGTAGTGTCGTGTCGTGTCGTGTCGTGTCTCATCATAGCTATGCGTGCGCGTGATGTGCAGGCATACAGGAGGAGAAGAAGCGGAAGAAGCTGGTGAAGGCGCTGCTGTCGCTGCTGCCTTCGCTCAATCTGAAGGTGCTCCGGCTGGTGGTGGGCTTCCTCGCCCACTTCCTCGCCACCCTGCCCAAGAACAGCGGGAGCTCCATCACATCGGTACACGGTTGTCGGGCTTGGGCTCTGCGCGCGCGCACGTGTGTGTTGTGTGTGTGTGTGTGGGTGGGTGTGTGTTGATATTTTTCTTCTTGTTGCGGCAGGCGTTCGCGGGTGTGATCCTGAGACCGCTTTGCTACGGCGATGTGGCCCGCTACGCGGCCGCAGCCACGCCCCGCCTTCTCGACCTACTGGTGGCCTGCCGACACAAGTTTTGGAACGTACGGGTCTCTCTCGCGCGCTTTTGTGTCGTGTGTCGTGTGTCGTGTGCACCACTTCCTGCGTCTCAGAGATGTCACTTTTCCGCGGTGTGCGTCATGACAGTATGAAGAGGGCTTTGGCGAAGGAGAAGCCAAGCCCTCGAGAGCCGAGGGGAGCTTCGCGCGGACCAAGAGCGCAGCGGAGATCAGGACCCACGCCAAGCTGGCCGAGAGCAGGGTCAGCAAGGTGGAGTCTAGTTCGAGCCCAAGGCCCAGGCCCAGGCCACGGTGGTCCCAGTGATCAAGTTCGATGAGGCGGACCCCGAGACGGAGAGCTGCAGGGCGGCCAGAAGCGGCACCCTGGACCTCTTTGCCCAGATGGCCCAGGGCGCCGCGACCATGCAGAAGAGCGCCACCGCCAAGCGCCGAGAACGCAGGAAGCGGTCCCTCACCTTCCACAAGGTTCACCACACACCACGCACACCACGCACACCACATCACACACACTCACACTCACATGCACATATGATAGGAGGGTTCGGCCTCGATTGTGACCGCATCGGCAGCTCCGTCGCCGAGCGTCGCGGTCTCGTCTACGCCGGCCATACGAAGGCTCACGAAGAGCAACACGGTCGACAGCCTCGAGTGGAAGAAGCCGGCGGCGGCGGACACGAGCGACAAATGCGGGCCTGAGGGCGAGGCAGCCGGGCCGAAGGCCACCGCCACCTTGGGCACTGCGGCCAAGCGCAGGGAGCGCCGCAAGCGCAGCCTGACCCGAGAGCAGCTGCAGTCGACGCCGCCGGCGACGTCGGGCGAGCAATCGGCGAGCCAGCTGTTTGTGGGCGCGGTGCACAAGGTGAAGGCCGGCATGACAATGAACGCGCGGCTGGCCGAGATCTCACGCCTCAAGCAGCAGCGCATGGGCCTCGACAACGTTGTCAAGGCGAACGACGCCCCGGCGCCGGAGCCGAACAAGTCGTACCGCAACCTAGGCGGTGGCAGCGCGATCGGGCCGCGTCGCCCGAAACACAATGACGAAGACGACGATGACGAAGAAAAGGAGGAGAAGAAGAACGCCGAGTGCGAGGAGGTGCCAGAGTCTCCCAGGCCGCGCAGTCCCTTCCTGAGGGAGCTCCAAATGTGCGTCGCTGGCCTTCTTTTTTGTGGGCCGCACCGCCACCGCTCACACTCCTCTGTTTTTGCTTGTGCCGCGGTAGGAACACGCTGGCCAAGAACTACCGGGCCAAGTGCTTGGAAGTCGACGTGGTGGGCGAGGAGCGGGAGAAGATGGGCTTCGACCCGAGCCAGCAGGCAGAGCAAATGGGCGCCCTTAGGTCCTGGGTTAACCCCGCTTCCCCCACACCCAGCTAGCGCGTCCAGAGGTTTAAAAACGCATGGGTTGTAACAGTACAGGCAAGAGGATGTGAGCCAGCCAACATTCACTGCCGTAAGGCTGGTGAGTGATACAGGGTAACATGTGTGGAACACCCTGGACAAGAGGTTCTTTTTCTTTTTCTGTTCTGTTTTTCCTTCTTTTTTGAATTGCAAAAGAGGCTCTCGCGCTGTGGGGACGCGCAGCTTTCACTGTTCGAACGCAGAAGTCATTTGGAAGGCCTGGAGACGTAACGAAACGCGGGTCAACGACCAGGTGAGCACAAGAAGGCGAAGAAGAAGAAGAAGGAGAAGAAGAAGGGGAGGTGTGAGTGAACCTGTTGGATGCCTTCGAGGACAACGGTGTGGAGGTGGTCCAGCGTTTCGGGGAAGGACTGGGCCTTGACCTCCAGCAGCTGGAAGGGCGGAGCGAAGCGGCAGAGGTAGGACTGGATGTAACGCAGATTCGAGAGCAGAGCAGACGTCTGCGCATGTGTGTCCTCGCTCAGTCCCTGTCGATGCGGTCGTCGTTCGTGCCCAGTCAGCGACCACCAGGCCCGCCTTGTGGTGCAGAGAGAGACCGGGGGAGGGGGGGGGAGTGCGTACCTGAGCGAATTGCCGGTCGTAGGTGCTGGTGGAGAGCATGTTCTCGACAAACAGCCGGTGGTCCTTTTCGTTCATGTTGAATATGACCGGAAGGATCACTCCCTTGGGCTCGTTGCCCTTGTTTTCTGCTGTGTCCCCACCACAGCACGCACACAGCACACACGGCACACCGCACACACGGCACACACGGCACACACGGCATACCGACAACAAACAAGCGACACGGACGAACCGGTGGTGAGCTAACAAAGAGGCCAAGAAAAGGAAGAGAGGACAAGGAGAGTACCGGCTGGTTGAATCGACACGGCCTCGCCTTCCAGCTTCTTTTGGTTGACCTTGGGGTAGGGGATGATGCTGTTGTGCTCTGCGCGTGGCGCGTTGTGAACGAGAAGAAAGCGAAGGTGGGTGTGAGAACCGGCCGGTTGGCAACGATCGTTGTTGGGTGGCAGGGTATGTGGGAGTGGGAGTGAGAGAGCGCTACCGATCAAGTGGAGAAAGAGGGCAGGATCAATATGGAACCCTTCCAAGATGATAGACTTGCCCTCCTTCAACGCCTTGTCCAAATCCGTCTTCACCGCTGCATCGTGGCCAGAGCCACACACACACACACGATCGGTGTGAGGGACAAGAAACAGTGGACCAGCTGAATGCACGCGGAGTGCTTGCCGGTGGAAGTCGGGGAGCGGGAGCGGGAGGCGTACCATCGCGCACCATCTTGCAGTCCGAGCGGAAGTCGTCCAGCAGCTCCTTCTTCGACGCGAAGCGGCGATAGATCAACGGCTCCGTCGTGATGTCCCTACGTAGACGCACGATCATGAGGGAGAACCCCAACGCGTGAGCGATGCGCAGGTGTAAGTGTAAGTGTGAGAGTGAGAGTGAGAGAATGAGTGGAGTGTGTGTGTGTGTACTTGACGCTGTTCAAGAACTCGTAGACCAGGTTGGTCTGCAGGACGTTGGGCACGTTGATTCGCTCCGCGAGCTGGGTGGCCAGGAACGACTTGCCCATGCACCCGGTGCCCGCGATGATGATGATCAACGGAACTCGCTGGTGATGGAACCTGCGCGCGCGGTCGCAACAAGTTTGTTGCAATGTTATACAACCTCTTATTGCACAATCGACAATCAAGGCCTTGCAGCTCACGTGAGAGAGGGAGCAGTGGGTAAGGTGGTACTTGAGGGTCATGGTGAAGCGTTCTCGGTAGATGTGGCCGTAGCCCTTGACCTCCATGATGCGGAAGAGGTGCTTCTCGAGGTCGGCCTGCGTCAGGCTGAGGAGGCCCTGGTCCACGAGGTCCTTCTTCAGCTCCAGCGCCACTTTGATCGCGTCCTCGGGCGACACCTGCCATCAACGCACAGCGTGATAGATGAGATTAGCCGTTGCGCTAACAGAGATGAAAGCTGTGACACGAAACATAAAAATCTCGAGCGCGATTGATGTGCATGGCATAATCATTGGAGATGACGAGAAAGTGGGGAAACCTTGATGAGAGTGAGCATTCGGCTCACGATGAAGCGAGACATGATGTAGTAGTGGTCCTCGAGCCAGACCTTGACCTTGATGAAGTCGTACTTCGTGTGCAGACGAGAGAATCGCTCGACCTTGGCCTTCTCCCCTTCATCTTGGGCGGCAAAGCCCACGGCCTTGATGTTACCGCTGCTCTGCCTCAAGCTCGCGGCCTGGCCACCCATTCGAGCCACATACTCTTCGTCTGGCTCAAACACCACCTCCTCCTCGTCTTCGGTCGTTCCCAGCTGGAGGTGTTCCATTGATTTCTTCATGAGCTCGTTTGCCTCCGTCTCTCGTTTGATCTCGTCTTCAGCACCCTTGGACAAGCCGGCTAGATCGATTCCTTCCACGGGCACGTTGTTTATCTCGGCTGGGATCTCATGCGCTGCCCCATTTGCTGTTGTTTTCTGCTTCCCCTCCATCGAATTTATTGCAGCACTATCTGGAGGCACCCTCCTTACCACTTCGGTCATTCAGCTATGCCAATTTGTCCTCGATCACGGTCCGATGTGTGCCGTGCCCCATCAATCTTTGCAGATCAGATGATGTTGTCCGGGGGCGGTCGGTTTTTGTGTGGTAAAAAGCCGCCTTTTAATCTATGATTCTGCACGAATCGCACTCAATTTTCTCGTTGGTTGGCTGGTTGAGAAAGTTGAACAACGGCTGTGTGACTGGGTTTGCGAAGTCCCGTCATTGTGATGACCAAGAGGTCAAAGGCGAGAGGTGGATGGGGCGGTGAGCAGGAAGGGGGCGCCGATGACGGGATGCGGGAGCGGTGATGAGCTCCGCTGGGTGAGCATGAGTGTGCTCGGGTTCTGCTTCCAGGGGCGAGCCTGCTGCAGCTCCACGTGCATCACGCCCTCGTCCGACGCGTCGTTGAAGTGAATAAATATCTTCATCGGGGACTCCTGCCACGAGAAGGCTACAACATTGGAGCTACACGACCACGACACGAGACACGACACAAGACACGACACGAGACACGACACGATAGCGGTTAGAGAGCGTAATGTAGAACTCTTTGAAGGAGTTTAACCAACCTGATCTGCTCGGGGGTTCCTTTGATGGTGTCTCGCCAGAGCCGCATGGCGGCATCCCGGTTCCTTACGGAGAGGTGGAGGCCGACCACGGACACCGAGGGGTGGTCGCTTTCGAAGCTGGGTCGCTTGTAGTGTGAGCCCATCGAGTTCATGAAGCTCGGGTCCTCGACCAATTCGACCAGCCACGGCGGTCGCAGCTCCGGACGATGCTCGGCCAGCTGGACCACAATACCCACTCCCTCCTGTACCGCGGCAAGAGGGAGCGTGAGCGTGAGCATGTGAATGCGAATGGCACTGCAAACACACCACCACAGTAGTGTCGCTCCGGGAGTGTTGTTCCACGATCGAAAAGTAACGGACCTGCTTGGGGTGAATGAAGGCCTCTTTCCACGAGGGTGACTGCTTGTTGACGCCCACCACCTTCCACCCCTTTTCCTCCGCGCTCGCGATAGCCTCGTCCAAATTCGGCACCTACATTGGATCACACTGTCATTGCGTGCCGTGTGTGCCGTGTGTGTGCAGTGGTGCGTGTGCGGTGGTGTGTGTCAACAAACCTTGAAGGTGACGTGATGCACTCGCGGCCCGCCGGAGGTGAGGAACTGATGCATGAAGTTCTTGTTCAAGCTCGCCTCATCGAGGAACGGCGGTGGGTCAAGTGCCTGGCACATGAAGAGGAACTTGCCATCAGCAACGTGTACACTCACGAACAGCAGCCCCGAGGCTAGTACCTCGAGCACGCCTCCGTTTGCAAACTCCCACTGCGCGCTGGCAAACACCGGGTTGGGCGCACCGCCCAAAGGTTTGCCTGTGTCGAGTTGGAGATGGTGGGCAGTGGGGAAAACGAAGTTCCTTGTGAGAAAGAATAAAACAAATAATAATTGTTTTGATCAAGGAAAAAAAAAACAAAACAAAACAAAACAAAGCTGAATGCTACCCCCCAGTTCATCCTCGAGGAAGGGTACGGCATCGGCAATGCTCCACACCCCGACAGCAATATGGTCAAATCGATATGATGATGTCTGTGCCATGGCGGTGAAGATGAAACGAAATCAAAAAATTGAACGAAACAAAGAGGCGGAGTTTCGGCAGAAGGTGATGATTTCAAGCTCACGTTCCAAAAACAAGAGGCAAGCCAGTCCATTGCTGCACGCGTGACGGTGCTTGGGCATCAGGCAGATGGTAACATTGAGCCTAAGTGTTGTACATGGGTCAAGATGATGGTATGAGTGTAAAGATACCCAGCACAGGGATGGAAAGTCCACAGCTCTATCCTGGTGAAGCAGAATTCCAAGAGCTCTTTCTCCATCTTCTGCTTCAGGTGATGTTGTGTTGACCTACGGCGTGCTGAGCCAATCAGCAGTAAATAAAATCATTGTTTTTGTATCTTCATTGGTGTGGCCTTGCGTCTACTGAGTGTTGGCCGAGGCCTCCTCGGGTGTGCCGCGTCGTCGTCGGACGGCGCAGGCGAGGGACTGGAGCACGGGCACAGTCTGTTGCCAGCTGAGGCAGGCGTCGGTGATGCTCTTCCCGTACTGCAGGTAGCGCGGACCCTCCTTGGGCAGGTCCTGTCGGCCCTCCACCAGGAAGCTTTCGATCATCACTCCTGTGATCGAATCGTTGCCCGCCGCGATCTGGTCAGCCTGCACCACCATTGACAACACTCGCATCAGCGACAGAGATCATCAACGGGTGTTGTGTGTGTGTGTGTGTGTGTCGTGTGTGTGTGTGTGAGTCGTGTGTGAGTCGTGTGTGTTGTCTTAGAGGAAGTCGGACGTACGATGGATTGGGCGACGGTGGGTTGGTTGAGGTGGTTCTTTCGGCTGTTGTCGTGAGAGCAGTCAATCATGATGCTGGTGGGGAGCTTCGCCTTCTCGAGCTGTTCCATGACCTGCTGCACGTGCGTCTCGTCGTAGTTGGGACCCTAGTGAAGAGTGACGCTCGGCAAATCAGTAAAAAAAAAGACACGTGGCCGCCTAGTGTTGTGTGTGTGTGTGTGTGTGTGTGTGTTACCTGCTTGCCTCCGCGGAGGATGACGTGGCACGAGGGGTTGCCGAGGGTCCGCACGATGGCCGTGAGCCCCTGCTTGCTCACCGAAAGGAACTGGTGAGGATTGCTTGCGGCCTTGATCGCATCCAACGCCACCTGCACGCCTCCATCCGTGCCTGCACAACGCATTTTGGAACAGATCAGCCTTTGCGCCATCGCTACAGCTTCATGATCACCCGTGGTGTGTGTGTGTGTGAGTTACCATTCTTGAAGCCTACGGGGACGGAGAGACCGGAGGCAAGCTCACGGTGGACCTGGCTCTCGGTGGTGCGCGCTCCGATGGCGCCCCACGACACGAGATCGGCGATGAACTGCGGCGAGATGGTGTCGAGGAACTCGACCGCGGCCGGCACGCCCATCTCGTTCTGTGGATCCACCACACCAGACGTAGAAGCGGCATGTGAGGCTCACATGAACCACCATCACGTCATAGCGGTGGTGCAGAGGGAAGGAGGCGAACCAGCTGGCAGAGAAGGCCGCGAGCAGTCTTGAGGCCCTTGTTGATCTGGTAGCTGTTGACCGAGACAAGATCACCGGTCAGCCACTCCGCGGGAGGCAAACACGAAAAACAGAAAAGAGAAGCGTACGTTTCGTCGAGGTTGGGATCGTTGATGAGCCCCTTCCAGCCGACCGTGGTGCGTGGCTTCTCGAAGTAGACCCGCATGATGATGCACAGATCGTCCTTCAGCTCCTCCTTGACCTGCTTCAACCGCATCGCTGCACTCCCCACCACCCATCAACACGTCAGCATTGGCCCAGCACAGTGTTCGAACAGTGCTACGCGGGTGGGGTGGGTGGTGGGTGGCGCACCATATTCGAGGGCGGCCTGCGGGTCGTGGATGGAGCATGGGCCGACGATGACGAGCAGCCGGTCGTCCTGCTTGCGCACGATGGCCTCGGCCTCGCGTCGGGCCTCGAGCACGGTTGTGGTGGAGGCCGGGGTGAGCGGCAGCTCCTCCACCAGGATCTGCGGAGGAATGAGGGGCTTCAACTCTGCCGCCCACGCCCACGCCCACGCCCAGAGACCGCAGACCGGTCGTAAGCAACCAACCACCCTCGCGCGGGGCAGGTGCACAGATAAGAGAGAGAGGGGGGGGAAGAGATACCAGCGATGCGAACGTCGTCTACGCCGTTCTTGGTGGCCTTGAAGAAGTCTGTGGAGCTCACGCGCGGCATTGCTGCTGACATGTTGTGTGGGTAGGACGCAGAATGTAGCACGTAAATTGTAGTGTTGTCTTGCTTGCCTGCTGGCTTGCCGCAGTTGCTGCTTGTGGAGAGAAAGAGAGGTTTGCCAAAGCTGCGGCCAGCTCATCCGGTTGAAGAAAGAGCGAGCCCAAAGAACGCGTCAAAGTTTGTGACATGTCCCAAACTCCGGGGCAAAGCGGAGATATGGGATCCTACCGGAAATTTAAGTAATGCATGCAACAACAGCTCTTTAATGACAACAATGCGCACCAACAGGCAAGAAGACCTTGGCTCAGTGGAGGATGGCCATGGCGGCCGCGGGCAGGCTGATGGACACGAAGAACCGGCCGTCCTTCTGCTGCTGGACCGGCACACTGCGCTGCAGCTGCCGAATGATGCGCTCCTTGTCCTCGGTCGCACTACCCTCCTCTGCCGTGGTCGTGGCGGGCGCGCCGCCCGACGACGAGTAGAGCGAAGAGGTGGGCGAGGCGAGCACGGCCTCGAGGGTGGCGTCGCTCCACTGGCTGTGGTAGAGAATGGACATGGTGGCCTGGGCGTTCTCGTGGTGCCGCAGCTTGGCCTCGAGCTTGCGCTCCTGCAGGCGGCGGTCGATGGTGACCAGCGCGCGGCGCTCCTCGGTCGGGTGGGTGTTGAGCACCACCAGCACCTCGCAGTTGTAGTGGATGCGGGACCAGGCCAGCACCTCGCCGCGGCGCGACTCGCGCCACCACCGCGCGTGCTCGTCGGCCATGACCTCCTCCTCGGTCAGCCGCAGGTCGATGTTCGTGTTGGCCCGCAGCAGCCGCCGCCGCAGCGTCTTCGTGTTGCGGTTGTTGTTCTTCTTCAGATTCTTGAGTGTGTCGCTGGCGATGCTCTCGATCGAGTGCGCGCGGGACAGCGAGGCCTGCCTGAGCAGCGTGTCGACGGCGTCGTGCGAGCCCTGCTTCTTCAGATTCTTCTTCAGCTTCTCCCGCTCGACCCTGTCGCTCTCGTCCCTCTGCGCCCGCGTCGTGAAGGCGATCGGGCACACATCGCGCAGGTACATGCGCCCGTGGCGCAGCGTAAGCCCGACCTTGTCCTGCAGTCGTCGCACGTCGGCCAGTCAGACACGACATGTGTCATCAACTACTCAACACACGACACACACGACACACAACACGACACAAGAGCGTAGGCAGGGAGGTACCGCGCGAGCGCGTAGATGGCCGACGGCGGCGATGCGCAGGTAGGTGGGTGCTGGCGGTCGAAGAAGTGGCAGCCCCTGGTGGCGAAGGCCCCGAAATCGCCGCCGAAGAGGTTCTCGCGGAGGTACTTGTCGTGGTTGCCGTGGCCGTTGAGGGCCAGCTCCGTGCCGTAGTAGATGCAGGGGATGCCCGGGAGGGTCAGCTGCACGTTGGTCAGGTTGGCCACGCGCTTCTCGCGCAGCGGCCCGTCGTTGATGTGACCCACGCGAGCCTTCTCATCGTATTGCCTGGGATTGAGCACAATCACATTCACCCGATTAAGCACGCACCGCACACGCACACATGCACACGGCAAGAAGAAGGTGAGAAGGTGGTGAGGTACCAGATCATGTCGTGGTCATCGAGGACGATGAAGTGGAGGAAGCCAGCCTCGCGCAGATTCTCCAGCGCGTCCTTGGCCTGGAAGACCAGCTGAAGGTCGCACTGGTCCGACAGGGTGTACATGTTGCACAGCCTCTTCGATTGCTCCCTGCCACGTTACATTGTCGCACATTTGTTGTTGTGGTTGGCCACACTCACAACGACGCACACTACACCACGACGTACCCGATGTCGAGAACGGCGTCGAGGTTGTGGGTGAAGGGAAGGCCACCACCCAGGAATCGCAGGCGCATGGGCGCAGGACCCGAGACCTCGCCCACCATCAGGAACTTGTCCTTGCCGATCGAGTGTGCAAACTCGTGGATGCCTACACGAGGACACA